GTTAATTAAATATTTGTTGATGAAATGAAAAACTATTAAACAAAATATCTATTAATTTATCTATTAATTAATTTAATTAAATACATTATTTATTATTTTTTTATATTTATATATTATTATTATTTATTATAAAAAATTAAAAAAAATAATGTAGATAATAAATATAGATTATCAGAAATATTATTTCTTTAGAATATGAAGGCCGTCATGCATGAACGAATCGAATGTATACTTTTCCGGATTATTAGGATTAATTGAAGGACATTTTTTGTGTACTTTACATTTCTTTGCATCGTTTTTAATCATTCAAAGAAAGAAAGATATGCATTTTTTATATTTTTACTTTTTATTTCGTGAAGAAGGAGAATCTAATAAAAAACAAAACAATATTTTAGAAATTAAAATTGAGATTAAAATTTGATAAATCAATAAATATATACACATATATTTATATGTACACACACACATACACACACATACATATATATCAACAATGATAAATCATAGTGAAAGTTAAAAAATCTGTATATATCACCATAATTTATTTGCATAATATATAATTATTTTTGACTATTCAATTTGTTTCTCAAATAGTCGAAATTCTAATAAATTATGTTATCTAATAATATCTATAATTGTACTTTAATTATGTAATTCTCTATATTATTGTTCATTATTGTTCATTCACTCCATTATGTATTCATAATCATTTCAATTTTTATTGTTATATTTAATAATAAAATTTATCGTAAATTATGAATTATTAAAAAATTCGATTAAAGCATATTCGATTCGATTGCGAAATTCTTTTTGAGATGTAGAATTTTTTCTGTTTCTTCCACGTCACGTGGATTAATTTTTTGTATAATTATGGTGAAAGCAGAGAGGAGAAAGTTTTCTATGTGTCAGCATTTAACTTCATTTAGCGCGGTTCAAGCGAATTCATTTCTTTGTGAACCGTTCTCGGCTCGATATCTGTGTCATAGTGAGATTCAATTTCAATCTAAAATTTCGTGTCAACTTATACGACATCTTATCAAAAATATTCTACGATTCGCGAAAAATTGATTTCAAAATTTTGTGAAAGAATTTTCTTAAAATGTTTCATTAGATTATGTTGTAATATTAGTTTGTGTTCTAATATCAAAAATAAAGGTATGTTTTTGCTATTCGATTTTTTACGGTTTCATTAATTCAATTTGTGAATTTTAATTTAAATTTGTTTTATTTAGATTATCAATTATTTTGTAAAAAATTAAAATTATAGACAAATAATATTTTTAATTATTTCTATTTTCATATTTGGATTATAAATAATAACATGTTATATTTCGATTGAAAATGAATCTTAATTTGTGCAAAAAGTATATCAAATTAAAATAGAAAAATATAACATTAATTGCATATAAATTAATTCTCCTTTTTCCAATTTGATGGAGTAATATACAATATATTGATGAATGAATATTAAATATTAAAAGTGTCAGATTTATCAATAAAAATATTTGGATTAAAAATAATATTTGTTCAAAAAAAAAATAAAAATATATTAATTATATATAAAAAAAATATATCATACTTTTAGTTTTTAAAAAAAGTAACAATAATAATAGATAGTAAAATCTATTTAAAATATAATTATTTTACATTGTTCATGAAATATCATTCAATATTTTCTCTTTCATTATTCTAATTGATTTAATATTTTGATTTAACAGAAATAATTACAATTACTATAACCAAAAATTATCAATTTCAATAATGGAAACGAAGGATTTCATTGATTTTGGCAAAGCAATTATCGATTTTATCGCTAATTATACGGAGAACTTGAGAGAGATGAATGTCCTACCGAATGTCGAACCAGGATATCTTAGTAAACTATTGCCGGAAGAACCACCACAGAAGCCAGAAAGTTGGCAAGAAGTGCTCAAAGATGTGGAACGATACATTTTACCAGGAGTAAATAATTTCATTACGTATAAATTTTTTTTTGTAAAATAGTATTAAAGAATCAAATATTTGATATATTTATTGTATGTACTACATTTTATTAATTCAATTTTTCTATTTTCAGACGACTCATTGGAATTCCCCCAATTTTTATGCTTTTTATCCAACAGCAAACTCCTATCCCGCCATTATGGGTGATCTTTTATGCAATAGCATTGGTGGTATAGGATTGTCATGGATATCTTCGCCAGTATCTACCGAACTCGAAGTAATTGTAATGAATTGGCTTGGAAAATCATTAGCATTGCCAGATGAATTTTTAAATTGCAATGGAAGTCGTGGAGGAGGTGTTATAGAGGTAAATAATATTATTACTAATACTATAAAGAACTTACCATTTTTTAAATAATAAAAGAATTTAAAAAATTAATATGAATTACAAAAAATTTTGTAATTTTTTATGTATGAATTACATAAAAAATTACTATTTAACAAAGTTTATATTTTGATGATTCTATGTTTAATATCTTAAATAGCCACTAGAGGGACAACTTTCTCGCTTTTAAGAAAGATACTAGTATGGGATAAATTTTAGGGTTATGTAAGCTATTACTAACTGTGGTTTCCCTTCAGAATTCGGATAAATCTTTCGCCTTTTACTAAAGATTTCCGTGGAGGGGAACAATTGATCAGTCTTATATATAAATTTTTTATAGTACCTTGACTTTTGTCGAGGTTCATTAATATCATTTCAAGCGTAAATTCTATTTGTAGGTATTTAAACCTTAAAATCCCTAGGTTTTTTTTTTACAAATTTATTTGAAGAAAAATTGGTAAAAAAAAAAGAATATATTATTTTCTATGGTAATATTTAATTTATATTTTATTATTAGTTTTAATATTTAATTGTAAAAATTTCTGAATTCTTAATATTTTATACTAAATAATAGTAATATTATCGTAAATAAATATTTATTTATTTTCGAAAAAGTGTGATAATTAATTATACAATTATTTTACGATATAATATTTTAATAAAATTAATATATGAAAAAAAACGGGCTCGTCCGGGATTTGAACCCGGGACCTCTCGCACCCTAAGCGAGAATCATACCCCTAGAC